ATTTTAATCAGTGACGGTGAAGAAGGGGCAGCGATTTCTCTGAAGCTCTGATTTAATGTAATCAGATTATATTGTCAAGTTGTTTGCATGAGTGATAGTCTTTTACATAAACTCATCCAGACACATGCACTGCAGGAAAACAAACACTTTTTCTCCAGTTCCAATCTAGTTTCTCTAAAATGAAGTTCCTAGCTGTCAGATAATTTCTTGCTCAAAAATAAAGTAATGAACTGTGAAACAGTAAACAGTCAGTTTCTTAAGGAAGTCATAATTTCTCAGTGCCCACTGGGGTCCAAATAGAATTCAGATGCCCCATTGTTTGGGAACCTTGGCGACACATGGAGTGATGGCTAATACTGGCTGTCGACTTGACACAACTTGGAAGGGGAGACCTCAAGTGAAGAATTGGCTCTAACAGAGTAGACTATGGATGTGTCTGTGGGTGTTTTTTATAATTGATAACTAGCATTGGAAGGCCTAGCCCACTGAGGGCAGAACCAGCAGACTGTGAGCCTAGGATCAAGCTAGCAAGCACTGCAGCTTGCTGTACAGGAACAGACCACATGATTAATAGTTTAGTGGATTTTTGTCTATGGTCTGTTTCATAATTCTGCCTTGAGTTCCTCTCTTAGTTTTTTTTTTTTTTTTTGATGTGGACTGTAGTGTGTAGGGTAAAGTTAACCCTCTCCTCCCCAAGTGGGTTTTGGAGAATGTTTACCACCTCAATAAAAGCAAGCCGAGAGCACAGTGTAACTTGGTGTCATCTATTTTAATGTGGTCTGGTATTGTATTATTTCTCAGTGCCTTTTAATTCTGGAACTCCATTGCAGATCATGTGCCTGGATAAGAGGAAACTTTCTTGAAAATATGGGTTCAAACAAAAATCAGTTTGATCACACATCCCTAGCCCCCTCCACACCTGTAAACTTAAAGTTTCCATGGTGAATTTGGATAGCATCCCTATTCCCTTCCACAGTAGAAGATTTACCCTTTACTCAGCTGGAAAGTAGCACCAGATCCCCAGTGGCCAGTAAACATTTGAGAGAAGGGCATTCATTTGCTTTGTAGTAGAAGCCACTTTCCTTTCTCTAGTCATCCAAAAAGAAATGGCTCTTTTCAAAACTAAAAACTTTGTTCTTAAATTAATTTTAAGTCCACAAAAATGCCTAGTATCTGCCCTTCTATTTCAATTCTTCTCGTTTATCTATCTGTGTGTCTGTCTATGCATCTATCTATCATCTGACTGTACATCCACCCACCCCTGCCATCTCTTTTATCACTGACATTGACAGACAGACACACAGATCAGACTTTGGTCCCATTTCTCCCATGTTTATGGAATGTGGTACATATTTTGAGCAAGGCTTCTCCGTGCAGTTTTGACTAGCGAAAACTTCAGACCCTTCTAGGATTCACAGCAAGCGTGACTAAATCCACCTGTACACAAACAGGCCACATGATTAATAGTTTAGTGGTTTTTTGTCTCAAAAGTACTTCATTAAATTATATGTTTCATAATGATTACAAATTCTAAAGGCCATGTGAACTTTAGAGAAAACAAGTAAGGAAAAAAAATCATGTGTAGCACAGTGAAATAAATATTCTAAATTGGGCTGACTAACCACTGGTAAGAATCATGGGGTATAGTATTATAAAACCATTCCTGGATTTAACACCCTCTGTGATAATTATTCTTTTCTATCCTTGGAAGCAGATTTTAATGTCCCAAGGAACGATTTACATTTTACAGAAGCAGCAGGGACATCTCAGCTGCCAAGAGAGTATACTCCATGGTGCTGTTGATGGCAAAGTTTAAATGATTATAAATCTATTAGAAAGGAGGGGCATTGCTGATTCATTATTGTATAGATTCAAGGCATGAGTGTCTCATTAATCTATGCCAGTATGTTAAACGGGCCATTCTGCTCAAGAAACTGCGATTTGATCTGAGTGCCCAAGAACACCCCACAGCAGCCTCCATTCAATTGTGTTTCATTCTTTTCCTTGTGTGTTGCGAGAGCTTGAACAGAGTAGAAAAGGGTGACTCTGACTAGTCAGGGTTACCATTTCGGATGTGTATAATTAGGAAGGGGATTATGCAGAATTTCTGTAGATGAAAGTGACACTTTTTGTAGACTCCCAGTTGAAGCCCAGTAGCCACGCATTCATTATTATGGGAAATTCCTGCCAAGTTTTCCTTACTGAATGAGGTTGCCTGTCTGGTGAATTGAAAGACTCCATCACACCTCTGGGATAACAGTCTTGCTGACATCTGTTATCACTGGCTTATGTGCTCTGTGTTGTTCCCTGGCCCGGTGACAATTGATAAGCACTCTGTCTCAGTCACCTGTGTGAGTATGTCTCAAACAGAACCAAAGTCCCATAGTTCAGGATGGAGCACATGCTACTTTTCCTGGCTGTGTGCACTCATTTGTATCCCAGGGTTACAGAGCCACAACCTGTTTATGTATACTTGCTTTGACTATGAAACATCCCTGCAGCCTACCAGCATTCTGATCTATGATTCCCGCATTTCCCATCATCTTTCAGAACGTGGATCTTTCAGAATCCACCCGCCTCTCTCAAGAGCCTGCATTTGCCCGGTCTTCTGTATCTGGATCCTTTCACATTTTTTAAAACTCGTTTTTTTACTTAGTGTACAAGACAGTGCATTTCATTATGACTCACTGGCACAGTATATTATTATCCCTTGTTCTCAGCTACCACTGTCCCGACAGACCCTCCTCCTTTGTTTACCAAACGTTTCTGTGAATTCATCTCATATATATCTAATTATCCTTTGTTGTTCCCCTTCCCCATTCCGTTTCCTCCTCAAGTGATCTCCTTTTTAACTTTCTCTCTCTCTCTCTCTCTCTCTCTATATATATATATATATATATACACATATATATATATATGTGTGTTTACATGTGTGTGTATGGGGTCTTTATCTTTTTGTATCTGCATTCTTCCATGGGTATATTGCCACTAGCCTCTAGGACCACACGTGCAGAGATACATGCCATGTTTACAGTGTACTGTTCACAGGAGGCGTTCCCTCACCATATTAAAATCCATGGAAGCATTCTGGGTGTCCATCTGCAGGTGGACAGATAAGGAAATGTAGAAAATGCACGAAATAAAACTCAACTCGCTGTAAAGAAGAATGGTGTGACATTTGCAAGAAAATATATGGAGCCTGAGGTTTTCAGTTCACAGAAAATGACCCAGACTTCCTTCTTGTTGGAAACCTTTTTGACTTTGCAAATCTGACACTGTCTTGTGGCTTATTCACCGTGGCTTATTCACTGCGGGCTGTGTTCTTAGCTTATCTCTACGAAGGCATCACCAGACAATGGCTTTGTGGATTTGTGGATTATTCTATTATAGTGTCTTTCTTTAAAGTTTTTAGATATTTGCATAAATCTTTGGCGTTATATATAAAACATATATCTTATCATGTTCACCTCCATTACCTTCTCTTGTCTCCTCACAGTGACCACTCCATGTCCCCAACTGCCCCACCCTGAACTGCCATGTCATCCTTTTTAATGCATGTTATCTGACTCACTGAGAATCAAGTTGTTCGCATGAACATGGTGGTGGTGTACTTATCTAAGAGCACCTATTGAGCTGAAGAAAATATCTTCCCCTTCTCCAACAGCCCTTGACCGCCAGTCGGGGAGGAGACAGGCCTCATGAGTTCATCCCTCCATTCTTGAAGGAACATTAGCAGGCCTGACATTGTATGGGTAACTGCAGATGCTGTGAGCCGAGTCTTGTTTAGAAGGCAGCATGATTTGACAGCTTTCCTCCCCGTCCTCCAAGTCTTACATCATTCCTTCTCCCTCCCCTCCTGCAATGTCCTCTGGACCTTGTGGTGTAATACGGATGCCCCAGTTAGGGTGGGATGGGCTGTAATCACCTATTCTTAACACTTTGTTTTAATCAGTCCACAAAGGTTACATGGAAACTGTTACCAGTTGCCGGCATTCCCTCACCATATTAAAATCCAGGTTGTTTGATAGCTGTGGAAACCTCAGTGCCTCCAAATACATGGCATATTATACATGAGACAGTTGTGGTGAAATTGATAGTTAGGGTCCAGCGGGACCAGGGAAACCCTATTGAAGGAGATAGTAGGAAGCTGGAGACACACATACCATTAGGTTGGCATGGTTGCCGTCATTCTACCCGCTGCCATTCCACTCTGCTGGGCGCCACCTGCAAGGGACAGCAGAATTTGAATTCCAACTGTCTCCAGATGTGTGCTGTCTCCTCTTTACATGGCAATGCCAAATTGTGTATCCCAGCTTGAGTCCCGGATGTAGAGGTCCTGACAAGAGAGACTGAGGATTCCGTCCTTACAAATTCCTCAGCAGCGCTGGAGTTTCTGCAGCCTGCCAGAGCTGGAAGAACTCGTTTTAAAATTCTATACCTTTTTTTCCCCTGTGTGTGTGTGTGTGTGTGTGTGTGTGTGTGTCCTTGGGGTTTCTACTTTATATTGGAAGTCTATATTCCTTATGGCGGTCATAGTTGAGTAAAAATATATCATAGAGAAAAATTGTGTGTGCTTTAGGAGTTCAGTCTCTAGTTTCATTTACATGAAATATTTTTAAATTATTTTTTATATGTGGGGGGATATGTGCATGCGAATTCAGGTACCCGTGGGTAGCAGATGTGCCAGGCCCCCCAAATCAGCCATTATTGATGGTTGTGAGCAGGGGGCAAAACTCAGGTTCTCTTCAAGAGCAGTATGTGCCGTTTGCTCTCAACTCAAATATTAAACATGCTGTAAATGGTAAGTTGTAAAGAAAACATGAATACGCATTCACATCGAAACAGTAGGCAAAAGCCTACCTAGCCTGTAGTCAAAAATATCATGTTGGGGAAACATTACTTTGACCACAGGTGATTATTTGGTTTGCATGTCTAATACTTCAGCACCATCTTCTAATTAGTATGCCATGCATCTTTTTTTATTTTTATTTTATTTCCAGGTTGAGGAGGCTCTGGAAGCTGTCAAAAATGCTACAAATGAGCAAGACCTTGCAAACCGCTTTAAGGAGTTTGGAAAAGAAATGGTGAAACTGAACTATGTAGCCGCAAGGCGACAACAGGTGGGCAGGCTCGGGAATATTGCTGGGGGCAGGGGGAGCTTAAATGACCGCGTGTCTCTGTGCATCTGCCTGTGACCAAATGCTGCAAGAATGTCTCACAAAGGCTGTGCCCTGCTTTCACCATCACTGCCTCGGCTCGGGGCCACAGGCACCGTCCGGTTGCTGCCCATGAGTAGATCACAGAGTCCCAGTTTTCACTGATGAGAACAAGGGTCCAGTCCCACCACACTCGACCCTTTGTCCAGTGCATGAGGAGCTCCGGATCAAACAAACAGAAAGCAGACTGGGGTATGGTACTGTCCACTCTCTGGAGCCACTGTTTGCTCACAAACTAAATCTCTTAGGTCTGTGTAAACCAGAAGGTGCGTACACAGGATGCAGCACACATACACGCAGCAAAACTTTTATAAAGAGAGCAGAAGAACGTACGGACTGAGCAGCCACAACAGTGAGGACAGATGACCTAGGGTCTCTCCCGTGTCTCCTCTGTCCAGAGATAGACCCCACCTCTTAGTTTTAGCTGTTTGCTGCGTGCCTTTGGAGTTCCCAGAGAGTTCATTGCTCCCAGAGAGTATCGTTGTGTTCTAAAACACAAACAAACAAGCAAGCAAAAACGCCCCTGTGCTGGGAGCATCTGTTACTGTCTTCTTCACCAGCCCTCTCGACTACTCCCAGAATTCTTCACCTTTGAAGGAATGTTACAGGTCTCTCACCTACTGAAAAGTTGTATCCCACAACCGCAGTTGAGTACCTGCTCTCTGTCTGGCCACAGTGATGCTGAAATTACAAATATTCTGTATGCAGTGGGCACTTAATCGGGTGCTTAGTTGGTGTAATTGTCTTTAATTTCACCTATGTAAGTCTTTGTTGCTTGCTGTCTGTCCAGTGTAAGTCTAGTGGGTAACTGCTCTTCCGTGTATGTGTGTGTGTGTGGGGGGGGTGGTGAGATGGCTTTCTCTCAGTGCAATAACTGATTACAGTGCTTGCATATCAGAGAACCAAGAGGGAGGCCTGGAGAGGGAGGCCTGGAGAGGGGGGCCTGGGAGAGGGAGGCCTGGGAGAGGGAGGCCTGGAGAAGGGGGCCTGGGACAGGGAGGCCTGGAGAGGGAGGCCTGGAGAGGGAGGCCTGGAGAGGGGGACCTGGGACAGGGAGGCCTGGGACAGGGAGGCCTGGAGAGGGAGGCCTGGAGAGGGAGGCCTGGAGAGGGAGGCCTGGAGAGGGAGGCCTGGAGAGGGAGGCCTGGAGAGGGAGGCCTGGAGAGAGGGGCCTGGAGAGGGATGTTAGATGGAGATACACGCACCATGGAATCTGGTCTTGTTATACAGTGTTTGGATCTTACTGAAAGCAGGCTCAAAGTATAGTATCTGTGTCATAAGCTTTTCACTTTAGCATCATTCTAAATATTTTGCTAAAACCAGAAGCAGAATGGAAGAGAAACAGTCAGAAGGAAGGTGTTATGTGGAAACCATCCAGGCAGTGGCGGTCTCCACGAAGGTGGAGGAAGTATGTAGGGGAAGAAATACATTTTGAAGAGCTTTGTCTGTTTCAGCGGTGAGAAGTGCATGATTGACAGGAATGAGTTTCCTACGGAGCCCTGGTGTAAGCAAATGAGGAGAAGACGGTAGTTTGATTGACATGAGGAAGATTGAAAGAGGCCTGATTAGGGCTAGAAATCAAAGTGTGGTATTTACAGGCATGAGTTTGAGATGCTTAAAACATCCACACGGATGTATCAGCTAGAAGGGAACAGCAGGCTGGAGACTGGAACAGCCACACGGATGTATCAGCTAGAAGGGAACAGCAGGCTGGAGACTGGAACAGCCTGGGAGTGAGGAGCTGGTATGAAAGCACTAATGATACAGACATTCCTATGAGAAATCTAAGAAACACAGCTCAGGTTTTTCTCAAAAAAAAAAATGCCTCGTTTCTAACTACCTGCTAACTGAGACTTCTGTAAAATTTAACAAAAAAGGGATAAAAAAGTACACTGCGGGCATTTCAGCATATAACCCTTCCCTCCTTTACCACAGTCGCTGCAACTCTGCCATTGTCAAGTGCACGCCATTATTTGCTTTCATCTTTTCCCCGGGGTCTTCATCAAAATCAGACGTCACACATTCTAGGCGAGGGCCCAACCAATATTTACCTAATGGTTTGTCCTTTTAAGAAACAACTTACTTGCCACTGAATGGGTATGCAAAATGACTCATTCAGTTCCGAATGGTTCCGAATTCAACTTTGATGCTTTCCAGTTTTATGAATAAAGAACATTGTCTCAATCACCCTAATTTTTCAATATATTTTCTAGATACAAATATTATATATATATATATATATATGTGCACATATATACATATGTATGTATGTATGTAAGTATGTACACACACATTCGGAATTCACTTTATGGACCAGATACTGAGGAATTAGTAAGGTCCTTTGTGGCTGTTCAGGAGTTCCTATTGGGAGAGGGCTCTGATCATTGCTGACCACAGTGATTGCATTGCAATATTTACTACTTATTTTGTTTTTACCCTGGGGTGCTCAGATAATCACGTCCAGAGACTGTGTTTGCTGGCATGTATCTAACTATGCTTAAGCAAAAAGGAATGTATGGTTCAGTTGTTATTTTTTGTCAGCTAGTACAGACTACTCCAGATGTCCCAGATAATGTGCTTTTTTCAGAATCACTTTAAACTGCAAAAAAGAAAAAAAAAAAACACATTATTCATTCAAGAGCATCCATGTGTTCCCTAACAAAATGAGCACATACAAATAGACCCTCAGCACATCAGATATCATTCACTGACATTTAACAATTGAGAGACTATACCCCTAGACTACTCAGTTGATAAACCTACAGGGCTCTCAGCGAACAGCACCTCCTTCAGCATTTCCAGGAATGGTGAGGACAAACCCAGATGTGCTGTTGAAGCTGAAAGGAAAGCGACTCCCCAGTGGTTTTGTTTTGAGAAGAGCAGATCACTGTTGGCCTGTTATTCAAGTCTTTCCATTTGATGTTTGATGGGGCTATTGAAATGGCCTAGCAGTTAAGAGCTCTTGCTACTCTTCCAGAGGACTGGATTCAGTTTCCAATACTCGTGCCAGATGGCCCATAGCAGCTTTTGGCTGTAGCTAGGGGATTTAATGTCCTGTCATGGTTCCCAAAGGCACCACATATAACCCCCGGCAACACGCCCCACAATACACATCAACATAAAAGTGAATCATTAGAGTTGATGACAGGCTTGCCGTTAGAGACGGTTAAGTTACAGTGAAGCGCAACTGATACAGGAAGCAATAATCAATGTTGACTTCCCTGTGTTATAAATGTAATTAAATGGAAGCACGCAGGTCTGGGTTTCCCGCTTGCTGAGAACAAACCCTGTTTGCAACCCATATTCCTTCAGTGGTTTTTGTGTAGTAAATGCTCTTAGCTGGTGGTCACTGTGCTGATGATTACAGAGCAATATCAGGATAGACAGGGCCTGTTGACATGAGAGGTCTTACGTAGGAGTGAAGCATGCTTACAAAGTCACTACGGCGTTATGCCATGGGCTGCTGATGATATGGGTATGGGTGCAGGGTGCTGTGGAGGAAGGAAGCTGTAGGCTTTGGTTAGGAATTTTGTTTTAAATCCGCAGCCAAGCACTAGGCGGAGCTCTGGGAGTCCTCCTGATAAAACAGGGGAGGGTTTGTACAAGCTATGGGGGGAGGTGGTCAAGGTCATGATGGAGGAACCCACAGAGACAGCTGTACTCCCTGCGTGGGACGGACCTAGGCCCTCAGCATGTGTGTGACAGTTATATAGCGTGTTCTGTGTTGTAAGGACTGTCCCTGGAGCTTAGCTGGCTTTTGGCAACCCTTTTCCCATGCCAGTTACCTCGCCCAGGCTTGATGCAAGGGGAGAAACTCCCTCCTACCTCAACCTGATGTGCCATGCTTTGCTCATGCCCATGGGAGACCTGCCCCTTTCTGAATGGAGACTGAGGAGTGTATGGGGAGGGGAGGATGAGGGTTGGGGGGGGCTGGATGAGAGGAGGGAGGGTAAGCTGTGGTTGGTATATAAGAAAAATGAAGACAATGTTAATTACAAGGTGAACCAGGTAGGCTGGACCCTGTCATATGATAGTGCACATTGAACATCAGCCACGGACTTAGACATTTCGTGAAGAGCAGTTGAGAGTCACTCAGGCAGCTACCTGGCAAGGAGGTAGTTTCTAATGTCCACAATGTGTCCGTGAGCCTGAGACTCCAGTTCTCCTTGCAGACACCTCCACACAAGCCTTACGTATGCTGTGCTTTTTCACAGGAGCTGAAGGACCCTCACTGTAGAGATGAAATGGCCGCTGCCCGTGGAGCCCTGAAGAAGAATGCCACCATGCTGTACACGGCTTCCCAAGCCTTCCTCCGCCACCCAGATGTTGCTGCCACCAGAGCCAACCGCGATTATGTATTCAAGCAAGTGCAAGAGGCCATAGCTGGGATCTCCAGTGCCGCTCAGGCCACCTCACCAACCGATGAAGCCAAAGGCCACACAGGCATTGGGGAGCTGGCTGCAGCCCTGAACGAGTTTGATGTAAGCACCTGGCTGATACCCATAGAGTGTGCACTTCCCACACACACGTGTGCACTCACACACACACACACACACACACACACACGGATAACTTACAGGCACACATAATAATATATAGTGATTTTGCTCTCAGAAATTTTTTGACAGAAAGATAAACTGTATTGTGTGTATTACTGTTGCTGGAAATTTGAAATGTAGGGAGAACCTAGTATACTAATCTTTAAAGGTTATAACAACCATGTTTAAGAGGTCTGATCGTGGATAGGTAGAAGGAATACCTCACATGTCATTCGGGTAATCAGTTTCATGGGATAAACATCATATCAGCTGCCGTTAGATTGCATCTATACCGAGTCTCAGTGGGAAATTTCCCTCGCTAACTTACGTTTACATAAGTGACAAGTAAACCCTATTATTACCCTGAACACTACTTAGGTATGTAGTCTTTCAGTGCCCCCTCTGGAGTGTCAAATACAAATCCCATAAAAGACTTACCCCCTGTATTTGTTCTTGTTGATGGAATATCCTAGAAGGGGACACAGGAGACTTCCTTTGCCCCGACCCTGCATGGCCTTGCCATGTAAGTGCATGAGAAGGTGTAGGCATCAGCAGCCAAGGATGTTAGCACATCTCCAGGATGCTCATCCGCACAGTCATTTATCCCCTGGCATGTGATCCTGCATAATGAAAAAGGCATGGAGACAAACCCGCAGCCTCTTGAATTCATGGGTATTTTATTTCACAGTATAGATGGGGATTGCGGGATGTCCTCCTCCTACAGCTGGGGGCAGCAGAAAAAGGATAGAACAGAATTCACAAGAGAAACAAGCTAGGTTACTTAGAAGCTGCTAGGACAGATGTGGGCTTTTTCTTGGGGGAGTAGGCATGAGCTTCTGGCAGCAAATGATTCGCTAGTGGCAGGAAGGGAGGATCCCGAAGAAAATAGTGGGTGCCTTAGGTGTGATACAGAGAATATAGTTGAGGAATAATTGGAATACTGGGGATTCTGGAGGTCCTGAGATCTCTGTGAGTGTGCAGATGTACACATTCTTACACGTGTACACACGTTCGTAAGTACCTGTATTTGAACTCACACCATATATATGACTTTAGAGGTTTTCTTTAAAAAGTTTTTTTTAAATATGTATATGTTTGTGCATCTCTGTGTGGGTGTGTGCATGTGAGTGTGAGAGCCTGCAGAAGCCAGAGGAGCCCGATTCCCCTGAAGCTGGAGTCACAGGCAATTGAAAGTACCCAGCATGAGTGCGGGGAACCAAACTTGGGTATTCTCCAAGTGCAACATGCTCTTGTAACTGCTGAGCAATCTCTCCAGTAATTATCAGGTGTTATGTAAGAAGTAAATCTGAATTTAGTAATAAGTTGAATGAATTAATTACAGAAATGAGCACTAGATACTGAAGATGGAGGTATCTGTCACACCGGGTCCTGCTGCCCTTCAGCCCCAAATAAACACACAGAGACATATTACGTATTAAACTGTTGTCCAGTCGCATAGGCTTCTTATTGGCTAGCTCTGTCTTCATTCAGTCCATTACTGTTGATCTATCTATTGCCACGAGGCTGTGGCTTACTCATAATCTGGCATGTTACTCCTTCTGCAGCATGGCGTCCCTCTGCATCCCTCTCTCTCTCTTTCCTCTCTCCACCAGCTTTCTCCTGGTCTGGTAGCCCTGCCTATCTTCCTGCCTGCTATTGTCGAATCAGTCTTTTATTCATCAACCAGTAAGAGAAACATGTATACAGAAGGACATTCTCCATCAGGGTACTGTCTACCTCCGTGTGCAATACTTCAGCAGGAAGCTCTCAATTTTTAGAAAAGAGTAGCAGTTCAACATAACATTTGCAAAACTTTCATGAACATCAGTAACGCTGTTCACTTTAATTTTGTTACTTATTTTAATTTCCTCACATTTGCTAAAAATACTCAAAATGTAGATGTGTAGTGCCAAACAAAGAAGAATAGATTTCCTCTGTTGAAGGGCAGGTTTTATTCTGAGGTGAGGAATTCTGTAACTCAGGACAGGAAGACTGCTGACTCTCTCAGTACTGTCCAGGCAAGAGTGATAAGTATTCTGAGGGACTTTTCAAGCTCATTGAAGTGATGGGTAAGTTTTTTTTCTTTTTTCTGGAGTAAGAAAAATGAATAAAACCGTATGTTATTAGGGAAAAGAGTAGCTCATGCATGAAGATACTAACATGCTGTATTGCTACATTAAACATATTGAAATAAAAACATCTCATTTTTAAGACAGTCAAAAGTCACAAATAATCTGAAATGTAGCAATATTTTTAAAATAGTGCAATAATAAAACAGCTCATAAGGGATTTATTACTTAGTGAAATTTGATCCCATCCTTTTTACTATATAATAATTTCTTTTGTGATTGAACAGTAAGCAGCGGAAAGTAGTCAGATCCTGACAGAGAACTCCCTGACTTTAGGCCCGTCATCTGCTGCCACCTTCTGTCCAGCAGTAGGATGGCTCTGAGTCCCTTGGTTCCCTCTTGGTGACAGACCATTTTCAAGAGCAGCTTCACCAGTTACGTCTGTCTTCCACTTTGAAGCATCACTGTGGTATCACAAGAGGCTTCAGATCCATAAAGTCAAAGTTGAGCTTATCCCGGAAGTCTCAGATACTGAAGTATGTCCACACATTGAACCTTTAACGCCTTTCGTTTACCACAATGCTGACTTCTTGGTTAGGGTGCAAAGGACTTTGGGCAATTAGACATGGGCAGGGTGACTGATTAATCTACTGATTAATTTCATTAGTTCGTAAGTTATATATTAATTCATTTCATTGGTCACAAAGTTGACTAAGGATATTATGCATTAGTGAAGCAGCTTTTTGTTATGTTAATGACTTATACCAACCAGTGCTTTATCATTAATGCTTGTTTGTTTGCAAGCACTGAAAATTATGCTCCAGTGACCCAGGGCTTTACATTTGATTTTTTAAAGGCTAACAAAAGAATAACTGGTGTAGCTGTCTGAGCTGCAGCCCAGAGCAACAGCTGTCATTGGTGCAGCCTAATGGTTGCTCCCTAGTGAATGAAATGTGTTTTCAGAACTTGCTGGCTAGTACTGATGTTACTGTTAAATGTTTAAAGAAATACACTATAACTAATTACTTGTATAGTTTCAATCACCTCTTATGCCAGTACACCTCAATCCCTTACTATTTGAAATTCTTTCACTGAAAACAATAGACCGCTTCTCTTCATGGAACAATTATAAATGGGATGGAGGGTTTGTTTGGTCCTTGTTATTCCCCAGGTATTCTAACTCGAAATTGATTTAGAATTTATAGGCATCTTCCCTAAAAGACACATGCTGTTTACAGAGTATGTTAGTCAGCCTCCTGTAACTGTAACAAAACACTTGAAGTCATCTCCATAAAAAGAAGGGAATTTTGGGGGCAGCAAGTCGTCTCAGTTGTTAAGGGCACTAGCTTTTCTGTCAGAGGACAGAGTTAGTTCCCAGCACCCAAGCCAGGTGAGTCACTACTTCCTGTACCTGCAGCCCCAGGGACCTGTTGCTCTTCTGGACTTTATAGGTACACACACACACACAGCATACACACACACACATACACACACACATACACACACACATACACACACACATACACACACAGCATAAACACACACACTCTCTCACACACACACATACACACACACAGCACACACACACACACTCACACACACACAGCATACACTAGTACGCACACATGGAGTGGGCGGCTGGACAGAGACAGAGAGACAGAGAAGCAGAGAGATTAAAAGAAAACTAATTGTAGGTTATTTTGGCTCCCACTTTCAGAAGTTTTAGTGCAAGACTGATTAGATGCTTATTGGAGCCTATGGTGAGGCAACAAAGAATGGCATGAGTACAGGATGGGAGAAGATGCTCACCTCGGCGTACGTGAAAGAGAGGGGAGACCAGGGTCCCAATATCCCTTTAAGGACATACCCACCAGCTCCCATCAGCACTCTCAATGGGTGTCTCAACATTCAACACACGATCTGTCGAGGAGACTTATCCAGATCATACCACAGATACCTAAACCATGGCATCTCGCTGAGTGACAAACTTTACCGCCCTGTTACTGACTTTCCCAGCGATATGCAGTGTTGATAAATGACCAAATATCTACTGAATGCCATGGCAGTTGAAATAGTTAAATCTCTGCAGTGCCGAAGTGAGACGAGCTCTGTGAATACGAGACAGAGATTCCTAGTCCATATTTCTTTTGTCTTAAAATTGAATTTGAGAGGCAATCTGTATTAGTAGTTATGAATGTCAATTTCAATTTTTATGGGACGTGGGATGTAAATGTGGCTTTAAAAGCTTATTGTTATGTCTGGAAACAGTTTCTGTCAGTAAACTGCTTACTGTACAAGCATGAGGAGTTGAATTCAGAAGCCAGCATCCATGTAAAATGTACACTGAGTACACTACAACTTCAGCACCATTGATGGGAGTGAGCTATGGGTGGACACGGGAAGAAGCCGAGGGCTTGCTGAACCCCTGGTCTAGCTGATCCCCAGAGAATGACTGACAAAGATATCAGATGTTGTCTGGCCTGAACATTCGCCCACACATATGCAGACTCATCCATGAACACACACACAACAACCTTATAGATGCATAGGATAAAGGAAAATTGATATTCATACATCCATCTGTTTAAAGCCATAGGATTGGTCGGTAATGGGTAGTTATAATTATCCATTCTGTCACCACAGCCTGCTTATAGAAGAAAGTCAATGAAATGATTGACAGAAAAAAAATAATCAAGGGTCCACAAGCAGTATTGTAACACTTAGAAACTGTCAAGAGAGCCTCTAACCATGTGATCACAAAAGCACAATGATTGCTGGTCAATGGGAAAATCATCAGGGTTTCAATTGTGGGAACTAGTGGCAGTTAATTCGGTCCTGTGACACTGTCCACTGAGGAGTTCTGCACAGAATATA